TATATTTTTGATTGATTTTTCATGGCTTTTTTTTTTATAAAATATGACCTATGATGAAATCGGTTAAGTATTTTTTTTTTTTGTTTTATCCATTGCAAAGAAAAAATCTAATATTTCCTCTTTATGATATTAATTTAGCTTAAAGAAGGTGGGGGGGGGGGGGGGAAGGGTAACAGTAACATAGGTTATATAATATTTTCGAAAAATCTATCTATCGCTAGTCACAATTAAATAGTTATTGGTTATATTATTAGTTAAAATGTTACTGTAATTAATATATATGAATACTTAATTGAGAAATGTTTTAAATAAAACATGCATGAACATGTAAGATATTATATAAAGTTAATAATATTACAATTGTAAGTAAGTAATAAATAAATAAGATGTAAGGAAATCACCTAAATTAAATTGACTTTAAATTATATTTAATTAAAATAAAACAAATTAAATTAAGAATAAGTTAAAGTAGTTGAATTAAAAATTTATTTTAATTGCATTAAATTGTTGTTTATCGTATTAAATTGAATTAAACCGACAATTACATGCAATTATATAGAGTAAATATGCACAATAAATGTTTTACCAGACGATTTTATAAATATAATTTTATGAAAATTCTAAAGGTGTCGCCGTTGTCGCTTCTAATTGTTATGTCCGACGGGATGTAAAATGTGACAAAATGTTTTATTACTATTACAGAACGCATTAAATGAATTAAATTAATAATTAGGATGTTATCTGTGACTTTTGTAAAAAATTTTGTTCATATTAGGCGTTATTGGCAGTTAAACGTCGGTAAGTCTTTTGCAACGATTGGCGGTTATTAAAACGCCACGAGGTAACAACAAACAAGTAAACAAACTAACTTTTTTTTATAATATTAACAAGAATTTATTTGGTATTAGGGATTTTTTTTATGAATAATATGATTCATTTAATTGTCTTTATTTAATGTTTAAATATGGAATTATCCTAAAATAGACAATTTCCACAAAATATAGTTTTAGGTTTTATGTTAATCAATTTATAGGATTGTTTATTTTTTTCTTTTTATTTTACATTTTTATATTATTAATATTGTGACGGGTATAGTTTTTTCAATTTTTCAACCGACTTCAAAGAGAAGGAGTTTCTCAACTCGGTTATAGTTTTTTTTTTTTTTTTAATATTTTTGTTTTGACTTTGTCAGTTGTAAATCTTTTTTTTTAATATGATAAAATATAGGTACTTACAGATGAGTCCCGTAAAAATTTTATCTCGAAAAGTTCAGTAGTTTAGTATAAAAATTAAAATAAAAAACTGGTTTTGTCACAATTAAAGTCGGTTTTTTTTTGTGGGACACAATCTTTAATCATCTTAAAAATAACGATTGCATATTAAGGTCGTAAAGATATTTATTTGTTTTATTTAATAATAATTTTCTCGATTAACACGTAATATCATCGTGTTGGGTGATATGTTCACAGCGACGGCAATTATCGACAAAAGCCTATGACATTACTATTCCGTACATATTTTATTTTATTATCTAAAAGTGTGGTAAAGAACTAATTATAATATTTTATATTTTTAACTGACTTCAAAGAAAAAAAGAGGGGGTTCAATCACGTGGTATTTTTTTATGTCTGCTGCCTCATAACTCCGTTAATTAAAAAGCGATTTGGAAAACTATTTTTTTCATCTCAATGGATATATTTACAGATTAGTTCGAGAAAAAATCATCAAAATCGATACAGTAATTATTTTTTAAAAATCAAAAGAACTGTAGTAAAACACAACTAAAGATGTTTTTTTTTCGTGGAACACATATTTTCATTGTATATACTATAATTGTAAAAAAACGAATGCCTTACGTGTATTTTTTTCATTAAAAATATAATTTACGTAAGATTTTTTTAGTTATTTTTATTATTCCAATATATAGTATTTGTTTACTGTTAATTATTTATTATGAATACTTGTTAATAAATAAAAAATTACATTTAAATTAAATAGAACTAAATATTAATTTAGAATAGTATACAATAAAAAATAATTGTATACTATCTAATTTTTATATAAGGACGTACTATTTAATAAAATACAAAGAATATTTTACCTTTAATCTTGAAAAAGAAAACTATTTTAGAATTTTTTTTTTTTATTATATTTATTACATGTATAAGGAGCACTATTCCAAAATTTTATGCGCATAAACAAAACTTCCGTCTCTTTCCTTTTGACACACCCATAGGAGGAGCTTGCATGTACTTTGGATGCACTCGCCATAACACTATCAGAAGTAGGGTGTCACCTTGCCCTAATAGAGTCGCGCATGACATCTCCAAGGGGCGGGAAATCAGCGTTTAAATATCGGGCAATTTGAGCGGATCCCGTAGAATCGGCGACGGCGGGCTACGACCAAGTTGGATCTGGACCGGAAATATTTTTTAAATTAAAAATATATATATATTATATTTGTAGTGAAATTTAAATCATAGACATCCTTTGATCCAGTGTTTTACTAGTGAATTTTTTTTTTTTTAAAACAAACAAACTTATTTTTTTCTCCGATACTGACACGGCGCGTTCAGCTGTCAAGTTAGTGTGCGAGATACGAAGATTTTGTCGTTTATCTACTTGTGCATTTTTTTTACGAAAAATGATTCCTATTTCACAGATATAACACTAGTGAAAGGGCGTGTATAATTTTTCTCGTCATCATGCTTCTTCTGTTAATAATTGTAATTGTCGTAGTTTGTAATGATCAGTTTAAAAATAAATATGATCATCTCACTGATGAAGAATAATTTATCAGTATGTATATATTTTTATTCAATTTTTTTTATTATTATTTTTATTTTAATTCGGTATTTTCCAAATAGAGCGTGGTCCGCCGTCGCCGATTTTTCCCTTTTAGTGTGAACGTTTCTTTATTTAGTGTTTCTTTAAGTGCATAATTGTGTTTCGCGGTTTGTATTAAGTATTTAGCTTTTATTAAATATTCTATATATTTTATTTACATGCGACTTCCAAACACTTGTTTTAAACGACCCATTTTTTTATGTACGTTTGGTACGCAATATCTCCTCCAGTAATTTGAACTATGCAAGATCTATAATTTCATCATCGCCATTATTTCCAATGTGGTAAGACTGTGTCATCACTTTTAAAGTGATTATTACGAAATAAAATCTGTTTTTTTATCGCAATAATTGTCGTCTTTTTGTAGCCTGTTTTCTTTGTGTCCCAATGCTGGGCAAAGGCGTCCTCTTTATCTCGATCAACATCTGGGTAAATACAAGAGGTTCCTATTTCCAGACAGAATTTGCATACGACTGCGTAAAAAAAACGCTTCCCACGCACTCCCAGTTCACTAAGCGTCCGATTAAAAGAACTAATGCAAAAAGAATCATCAAATTCGGTAACCTATGCAAGTTTTTGTAAATCGCTTGTAACAAATCAGTTCTCCTTATATTCAAACGAGAATATTAAAACTAGATTTCAGTTTTGTTATTTTGGTTTTATTTATTTATTTATGATTTTTATATGTTTTATTTTATATATTTTTTTTTCCACTAATTAAAGTTTGATTCCTAATTTGAAATGTAGGTGTGTTTGTGTTTAAATATATATAGTATAGTGTTAGGTAATAATTAGTCATAATGTACATTGAAGTTATCTGCGGAGTTTGGATTAGGTAAGAGATTTAAATACATATTTATTATTAAACGATTGACGTTAAATATTTTAAATTTAAAATGAAATAGCTTCTTATATTGCCACTTATATATATAATTTATATATAGTTAATATTTTCAATTGTATTATTTATGTTATATAGACATTTATATTGTGCCAACGTAATATTTTGTTGGCCATCAAACATGCTCAATGAAAGGTAGCCATTTTGTTATAGCTTCTTACGATTGTCAACAAGCGGCAGTTGCCTCTGTCTATCTCTTAAAGGATTAGTCGTGGTTATATTTACTTTTTTATTAATATGATGATTTATAATAACGTCAAACGTCTAAAATATAGTAACTTATGGATAGATAGATAGATACTCTTTATTGTTTCGTCCAAAAGATTACAATAGTAAACTTATTATAAATATAAACAATTACAAGAAATAATCACAATGAGAGAACAATGGGCGAGCTTATCGCTAAGAGCGATCTCTTCCAGGCAACCTTTGGATGGAGAGGAGTAATTATAGACAATAATTATAAATGTTTGGTCATTTTGTTTTTGACGTAAATTCTTCATTTAACAGAAAGTGTTATATATTGTCCGACCGAGGATTAACTACATGGGACAGATAAAGGAAACACTAGGCGTCACGTCGTATAGGGAGATAAAGGATATGGCACGAATTGGTTGCACCGACAAGAGGAAACTCTTAAATGAAAATGAAATGTTATGTATTGTGTACGCATATTTTTGGAGAGTGAGCTTGAACAAAACACTATTACTATACTGGTTACTCTGTTTGAGTTATAGATTACTACCTATTGGCTCTTCTATTACAGTTGTTTTATATTTTATTATTTAATATTTTATTTATTTATTTATGAATTTATCAAGGATTGCTTTCCTTTCCTCTATTCAAAAATGCACCGCCTATGTATTTCTAGGTTTGCCCAATGGTTGACTGGTAGAGTTAGCCAAATGTACATACAATAGAATTTTACTGTGCATTAAAGTTTAAGTATATTTCTATAACACAAAAGTACTCTCTAATCGATATTAGTAACAAATCGAATCGTTTAATCGATTAATCTAATCGACTAATCGATTTTCTATTTGTAATATAAACTGTTGATTTTTTGTCGGTATTTTTAATTAAGTTTCATTGAAACAGAATATCTGTTAATAGTTTTTGTTTTGTAAATACGTTAAATTTATGTTCAATTCCATTGATTCATTGATTAAAGTACCTCTTGCTTTTCCATATTGTAGTTCGCGCAGTGTTCACGGCTGGGCAGTTTTTGATGATAATTTTTCTCTGTTAACAGACGCACAATGAGTCACGCCACCGGGTGTGTGTCCCGCGCGATGGGCAACTGCGCATGCGGCCCCCGTAAGCGGTTCACCATTTGCCTGGTGTTCTTGTCTCTTCTAGTACTCTCCCTGTTTGTCTTCAGTTTATCGAACGGTAAGTATTATTGTTTTATTAAATTTAATATTACAATTACAAGGATATAAGGATGAATATCTTGGTGGAAGTGACACTCCAGTGAATGAAGCGTTGAAGGCATACTGTTGGGTCACGTCCTTTATCATTATACCTCTCCTCCTCCTCGGGTTCTCCCTGGAAACTATTATGGTTAATTCCTGATGAATTCATCATGATGGACTAACTGGCCTGTTTTCATTCTCATCGATCATCCGCCAGCGTATCCCGTTAGCGCAGGCGGGGTTACCATACCATTTTCACCCATAAAAAAAATGTAACTTTGAATGTCACAGATTTATAGGTTTTTCTGTCATGTAAACTAGTTTTCCTATTTTGTGTTGTTGTTTAAATTGTTAATGTTGGATGGATGAGGATGAGAGCAGAGATGATATATATATATATATATATATATATATATATATATATTAGATTCTTGTAAGCCTTTGCATTTGATATATTACACTATATTTTTATTTTAAACATTTACCCCACAATAGTGGTCGCCATATTTGATATTCATTTATTTACGTCTTTCACCGTTACGTTACGTTAATTATTTACACTGGTCTTTGGTTGGATCATCGATATACAAAATTTTAACTCAATTGATCTAGTAGTTTTCAGAACAAATTGGCCAGACGGACAGACAGACAGACATGCGAGAATTCCGTTTCCTTATCCAGAGTTTTAGAATTTAAAAAACAGAAAATTAAGCGCACATCTCGAAAATGTCTAGAGCAAGTCGGTAAATTTTCTTTTTTTAAAATCCATTACATTCCGAGGAAAAATTGCACGCAAAAATGATATAAAAAAGAAAACTAAAACATCTCTATTTCCCATAGAAACTGTTTATACGGTTGCCGGTTCGATCATTTCAATCAAATGCTTGACGTCAAACATGTGTTTTTACAGAGCGACATCTGTCGGGTTAGCTAGTAAGTAATATACAAGTAAATATAACCATAAAATCACACTACATTGGAGCTGTCTAATTGCGTTTACATAATTCATAATAAACATGTTAGTACAATGTACTGCACACATTGTATGATCTAGAATGGCCCTTCGCAAATAGTAATACGTGAAGGTAACTGCGTCACTGTGTATATATATATATATATATAACTATTTCAGCCTTTAACTGTCCACTGCTGAACATAAGCCTTCCCATAAACTCCCAGGGGTGTTTTGCCAGTAGCTGCCACTCTTGGTAGCCGGGTTGGCAACCGTAGTCAGGCTCTAGAGATGTTTTAAAAGAGACGCTGCAATATTGTAGAACATACCTTTGTTCTATCACCAACAGTTTCCGCAGCGCACGCGACGAATGATATTTAATAGCATTTTTCTTACACCTTGAGTTACGTTACTAAAGTTTTAGTAAGGATCCCTAATCTTTTCTAGCAATAAATATAGCCTATGTTATTCAGGGTGAATGTAGCTTTCTAATGGTGAAAGAATTTTTGAAATCGGTAGTTTTTGAGTTTATTCATTACATACATGACAGAAGAATACAAGATACACACAAGAATACAAGTCTTCCGTAAAATACAACCGAAATGAGTCCATTTTGAGTCGGTTTTTTTTATATACAACTTAGAATGGCAAACAAGCTGACGGCCCACCTGATGGAAAGTGGTAACCGTCGCCTATAGACATGAGCAGTACCATAGACATAACAGATTATACTGTTTCGCCCATGATACCACCCATGCGTTGCCATTCCTGAGGACTCAGGTGTTATTCCTCTGCACCCTGTAAATTCAATTAAAATTGAAAAATAATATATTATTTTCGGATTATTTTCTCACTAAAGTAAAACGAAAGATGGCTTTAATTGAGTTTTAAAAGCGTGTAAATGTAAAGGGGGCATCCTGGTATCTATATCCATTTGAGCGCCCACTAATTATGCTCGGGCACGTCGAAGGGGTTTTTCCCATGTCCCATGGGGAAGATGCACTCCCCTCTTCTACTGGCATTAACTCTGCTTAACGGTATTATAAACTAGTATCCGAACTTGGACATATTGACTGGGAAATTTATCGAACACCGCAATAAATCGCAATAAATTATATTTTGAAATTGATTAATTAATTATATTTTATAATATTTTTAATTAATTACGGTGCGCTCAATCGTTGCCCATTTTTAAAAACTTAGTTAAATCCCACTACCTATCCTTATAATCACTTAGTCCTACGTATTTCCAGTTTTATGTGTGTTATTATATATGTGTATTAGTATGGTATATTTGTATGTATTTATGCGTATATATGTATATGTATACATATATATTTATATGTGTATGTATATATATGTATATGTTTGGATGTATGTGTTTATTTATGTATGTGTATATGACTATGCTGTCACAGATATTATTTTTTACAAATCTATTTCTTTTAACGCGCCACCTACCTATTTATGCTTTAATTCCTTCTACCCAAAGGTTGTTTGGAAGAGATTGCTTAGCAATAAGACCGCGCATTTGTACTACACTATACGTATTGAAAATTGTTTAACAAATCATGTTATGTTGGTGCAATAAAGTGTTAAATAAATAAATAAAAATAAATAAATATATTTAACATAGTTAAATAAAGGGAGCGTATTGGGAAACTGTCAATCTATTTTAGTTGGTAGCTAATATATATATATATATATATATATATATATATATATAATTTTTAAAATATATATATTAATATATATATATATATATATATACATATAGTGTCTATGTATGTATAGTGTATCCGTTGAAGTTTTAATACTGGCTGTTGACACTGAGGTTTTTTTAGAACAATGTATTATTTTTAAGTTTGTTCTAAGTCAGATTTTTATAAGACATGTCTCGTATTTTTTTTTACTACACTTTTTATTTTGTATCACAAATACATATATGTTTTATTACTGCATCCTGCTATTTACAACAGTATCTAATTCATGTCTTCCTATATATGCGAGGATTGTCACTTTTTATCAAATCGATAACTTCTTTGCTATGTTAAGTTACTTAAAAAAATCATTTGCGGATTATTTGAACTACTTACTACTTTATAGTTGAAAATCACGAAATCTTATATATAAATTCCATGTCACAACATTCGTACACACTAATCTCCGAAACCATAGAATATAAAAAAAATAACTAAACTGTTGTTAAGAATTTTACCAGAGGGAGACTTTGTACAAAAGTCGATTGCTTAGGTACCTCTGTCACATTCGTGTTTCTACCGTGAAGCAGTTGTGTTTGCATGGCTGTGTTTCGTTTTTTTTTATTGGATGAAGATGGAATGGTAACCCCGCCTGCGCTAACGGGATACGCTGACGGAGCACCAGTGAAGGGTGATCGATGAGAATGAAAACAGGCCAGTTAGCCCATCATGATGAATTCATCAGGAATTAACCATGATGGTTTCCAGGGGGAACCGCGAGGAGGTCGACCTTGTTGGGTATATTGCTAGCAATGGGATTTTTAGTCTCCATTACTAACAATCCCTTTCCCCCCTGTATTTCGGTTTGAAGGGTGGGATATGGCGTGAATTTACAGGGTACAGAGGAATAACACCTGAGTCCTCAGGAATACATTGCATAGGGGGTATCATGGGCGAAACAGTATACTCTATTATGTCCATGGTACTGCTTATGTCTATAGGTGACGGTTACCACTTTCCATCAGGTGGGCTGTCAGCTTGTTTGCCATTCTAGGTTGTATAAAAAAAAATGTTTTCACCTATAAACAGTTGCATTATACGACAGTAACATGGGCTGTTTTATTAAAAAAGAAACGAGTTGTGAATATAATATAAATATATTACATCTATTTCTATGTAGGTCTATACACAACAATCTTAAATTGTTTTTTAAAAACAACAAAATAGATCTGCCTAACATATGTATGTTGTTTGTAGGTCTGTTACTTTTATATATACATATACAATTCAAATTAAATTTAAACAGTGTCAAATTTGAATTGTGTAAACATAATGTAAACGTATATGTAAACGTGCATTACATTTTACAATAATACATTTTAGATAAACGCCCTTTATAATTTTTTTTTATTGGATGAAAATGGAATAGTAACCCCGCCTGCGCTAACGGGATACGCTGGCGGGGCACCAGTGAAGGGTGATAGATGAAAACAGGCCAGTTAGCCCATCATGATGAATTCGTCTGGAATTAATCATGATAGTTTCCAGGGGAAACCGCGAGGACGTCGACCTGGTTGGGTATATTGCTAGCAATGGGATTCTTAGTCTCCATTACTAACAATCCCTTCCCCCCCCCCTTTTTTATAAATATGTTAACGATTAACTATTTATAAACCACACGATCTCGTCGAGAATATTGGATTATTTGTTAAACAACAACGGATACACGTCAGCTTAATCTACATCTACACTAATGTATGTATATTTATAATGAAAAAACTCAAAAACTACTTTGCCGATTTAAAAAATTCTTTCACCATTAGAAAGCTACATTGACCCTGAGTAACACAGGCTATATTTATTGCTAGAAAAGATTAGTGATCCTTACTAAAACTTTAGTAACGTAACTCAAAGTGTAAAACAAAACGCTATAAAATATCTTTCGTCGCGTGCGATGCGGAAACTATTGGTGATAGAACAAAAGTATGTTCTACAATATTGAAGAAAATATCAATAACTACAAAAAACTTTGCGATACTATATGTTCAACTATTATTGTTATGTCACAATAATCACTTTTTAAAATGTTGTTAAAATTTCCACCCGTGCGAAGCCGGGACGGGTCGCTAGTGTTATTGTAAGTTGTTTTTCTAAAGTGTAGTTCTCAGGAAAGTGAGTCTATTGTTTTTCAAATTTTATTCTGAGGATATGCAATGCGCCCTACGATACATATTTAACGGGCATTTGATTAGCATTTGACGTTAGTTGACAGTTATGGTTTTTAATATAAACTTTAACGTGTTGGGAATACAGTGTAAAATTTAA